CGCTGCAACTATCTGGAAAAAGCCTTTTCCTCTTTTGATGCCTGAACCTGTGGAGCTTCAGGCTTTCTTCTTGAGCCATATCCTCCTTGGCACTTGCAGCCCATAACAAGCTATTCTTATTAACATTTTTTCTGGGCTGGGATTAAGCTGGAAAAGAGACAGGAATGACATTTTGCTTAAACCACTTTAAAAAGTAAGCAGCAGCTCTACCATTTAAAGTTTATATTGAATCAGCTCCTAGATGTTTAGAAAAAAAAAGGAATATTTAGGACGTAAACACAGACACGTATTGCTATACAAAAGCTCCAACTTTGATGATTTGCAATGGGTGGGGTTTTTGATAATGCCTCTGCTCAAGCCACACACACACACAATTACTGCCTCTGCACTGACACATCAGGAGAACATTTTGTTTTCCCCTTACCAATCCACAATTACATAGATTTGTTAATTGCATCAATGTGACAAGGAGGAAGCAACAAAAGCTGAAAAGGTGTTCTCTTCACTAGCATGTGCCAAAGATCACGGTAACAATGAACTATATACCTAAGACTCAGCCTGGAGCTCTGATTAGGAGCAGCCAGACCAAACTTCAGATAAGGACAACCTAGAGCTAGTGCGTTAACTTCTTCTGCCCCTTTTCCGAATGGAGGATTCATCTTATTACGTGGGAGAAAGAAAACACCAACAAAACTCATCCCATGACCATTCACGGCATGGGTTTATGTTTCACAGTGGCCTGACTTAGACTGATCAGCTGTGATTGCTTGAGTCAGAGCAGCTGAGAGACACGTTTGTTTGTAGCAATGAGGTGCCACTACTGGGGCTGAGCAGATTCCTCTTCTTTCCCTGTGCTGCCATTTGGCAGGACTCACTGAGCTACTCAGAAAACAATGCTAAAATTCCTCCCTGGGCAAATGCTAATACACTCCATCAAGTTCTGCTTCCATACAGCCAGGAAGCTCTGTGCTCTTGTGTGCTTGATTTCAAAGTTATTTAAGGAGTTAATCGGCATCATTCAGCTGCATGGGGTGAAGCTGCAGAGCGTCGGTGCTGGATAAGCAGCTCTGGCTTGTGGAGCCCCTCAGCTGCCCATTTCCTCAAGCACGGGCCTGGGGTTGTGGAGGGAAGAGAGACATCTGTGGCAGGACCACAGCTGCCTGAAGCCCCAGAGCATCCTGCTCCAATGGCAGCTTGGGAAGCAGAGCAAAGGTTTCTGCTGGATGATACGGGAACAGGAGCCGAGCCACAACTTCTGCACTGTGAAAGCTTATTTCATTTTGGGCCAGGGAGGTTTCAGCTGGCCACAGCTCCCAGCAATTCCCTACAACTGCACAGTGAGAAGAAGCAAATTCTCAGGAAAAAACAATACAGTGAAAAATCAGGTTTGTGTCCTTCAGCAGCTCCCATACATTCCCCTTGGGGCTCCAAAATTTCCCCACAAGGAAGTGAATCAGGCTGCTTTCAGAGGAACAGAAGATAAAGCTAGGGAAACAAAACCCTCACTGAGGCTCCATAGCCTCTCATTTTTGCTATTTCTACCCTCATCCTTCCTTCTGCCCATATTATCCTCTAAATCTCCTGGGACATCAGCTCTTCAAGATGGGAACTACCTCCATACCCCCTGCCATGCAGAAACACACAAGGAATATCCAAAATTTGGGCTAGTCCTGCGTTGTTCCTAGCAATCCAACTCTCTTGAAAGAATTCCTCCTCATTTTCAGATATGCTGCATTGTGCAAGTTGCCATAAAATGTTTATACATTGTATCCTCCGACCTATTTAACACATCCAGCTGCTACAGAGAGGCAGGAAGAAAGAAACCCAGACCCCAAGAACACAGACAAAAAGTAGGTTGCAGAAATCCCCTATCTTTCTGTAGGAAGTTTAACTCATGGGGAATGAGAAATAAATCCAAAATTATCTTCTGGATGAATTTAAAACATGGAGAAATGATCTTTCTTCAGTCACTTCCTCTGTTCCCACGTTCCCATCAAACAGTCAAGAAAGCTTTGCTACCCCAAAACTAGTCTTGTTAACCAAAGGGAAAAACCCCCACACATTAGAAAACAAACAGCTGCCTCCATCTCCCATCTTCAGCGCCCTGCAAGGCTCAGAAACCACCGAGAGCTATCTCAGCACACAGGATGCACATTCACCAGGTGCTCCTGCGGTCTGGCACCCTCACCTGCCACTGCTCCTGCAGCCACCAACCCACTGCTGCTGCTCCACTCACCCACCCATCTGATAAGAACACCAACTGCGGCACCAGGCTCCGACCTGAACTTGCAATTCTCACTCTCCTGCTCCCACTAATACAACTTGGAAATAAATAGCAAATCAGCTGCCAGTAAAATAAGAAAATTTAAAAAAAAAAATAATTTGAGGAGAATGGGGAAGACGAGACCTCTCTAACAACAGCAGAATTTGGAAGATTTTGAATCCTTGTCAAACACCCTCTTCCTTCCAAAAGCTGCACTGAAATTAGACTTCCATTTTTTTAATTATGGTTTATTAGGCAAGTTGTGTCTGATCTGTCTACAGATTTCTACTTTTAATTTTACAAAGCAAGCTTTTAAAGCATGTACCTTTTAAAAAAAAAAAAAAAAGGAAAGGCTTTTTTTTCCCCCCTCTCTACATATGGTGATGAAAGTAACTTTTTTCCCTTTCCAGGAAAGCTTTGCGCTCCCTTCTCATAGATGGTCCTTGCCCTGTGTCTGGACGCCGTTCCCCAGGGGTGCATCCCCGGGGCAGTTTGCAGTCAGCAGGTCCTTCCAAGGTGGAAAAAAAGATTCAGCGCCCTAGGGCGCCTTTTTAATCCCGGCTAACACCTCCAGGCAACAGATGCATCAACAAGAAGCGTCTTTGTCATGCAAATAGCAGGGCGCAGGTACACACCAGGCACAAATGGCTGAGGACGAGTGACACCCCAGGGAGAGCTCTGCCTCCGGTGCTTGCTGCTCTCAGCTGCCGCTTGCCCTGGGAAGGGGAGGCAGAGCAAGGCAGCGGCCGGACCCCGCGGAGGTGAGCGCGGCGCCGCAGCCGCGGACAGGCACGGGGACAGCGAGCGTGTCACCTCCGCGATGCCGCGCTCTGATCCTGCGCGCTTGAAAACCCAACTGTCAGCACCGAGCCTAGCAAAGATTACAGTTCAATTAAACAAAAAAATTATTTAATAACTCAAGCGTGTAGCCTTGTGGTTAAACTGAAAGAACTCCGGGCTTATGTCAACATTGCAGCCCTGCAACAGCACTGTTTTTTATTGAAACAGTGGTGCTGCTGTAACATGCAAGAGCAGCACCGATCTAAATTAGCCCCTCAGATGTTCAGCAGGCAGCTCTGCAATTAAAAACAAGATGCGTTTTCCCCCTTCCTCCCCTCCACCACACCCACAAAGGGCAGTTCCTCAAGAGCCTCTGCAAGATGATATTCTGAGGGCACTGATGCCAGATCCGTACAGAGTGGCAGCCCCACGGTATGCATATATGGAGAAAATCCTCGGTGAATAATTAAATTAGATTTTGTTGTTCTAAGCCACACACCAGCACTCGGGACTTTCTTAGGAAGGTAGAAGGCAAAGAGGGGGTAAAAAAAAGTCTGAAGTTTCCAAGTCCCCCAAAGGGTAGGTTTGAGTCTCAATGCCGTCTTGAAAAGCGGCATGCTTTTCCCTATGATACATCCAAAAGGAAGTTCTATGTAGAACAACGTTTACAACAACAAATATCAACAGACTGTGATCATCATGCTTCACCCTAAATGGCTGTAGGCCTCTGAACTGGAATTTATACACAAAAAACCCCCACAGCTATAGAAAGCAATATATTGCATGAGTTTTTGCATCTTTCAAATGCTGATCCATGTGTTTTGCAATGCCAAAGCACCCTGTCACTCTGACTCCAAATACACACTAATTTAACATGTTTTGCTGCTGTCAAATTACCAGCACAGATCAGGCCCCCTTCTTTTTGTTTTTGAAGTCGAATGCCACAGTCCTGAATAAAAATCAAGAACGTCAGAGAGCAAAACAATGCCATGACAGAGTGGCATGACAGAGACCTCCAAGAAAAAAATCTAGGAGCCAGTAAGAGGGAAAACTGCTTTATCACAGGGAAGTAACAGCATCCAGCTCCTCCTCTCACAGCACGCACAACGGCAGCGGCATTTTTCCAGCACGATGCCTACAAGCAAATTGTTTCCCGCTCCTCTCAGGTTCTACTAATATAATTTCCACAGCTCATTTTAACACTGCCTCTCCATTGCTCTGTATGCCTCTTACAAAAATAAATGGGGATTGACTACCCAGAATTAAAAGTACATTTAAATCCATTAAACATGAATCTACACCAATGGAAACAGAGGAACCAACCTGGAAGAATCAGTGCTCGCCACAATGTAAGGGAAAGCTGTAACTACTGCATCATGGTTGATATTAATTTCTAAACGATCATTTCACAATTTCTGGCTGAAGATACAGAGTATGTTTCAAAGCAATGCTGCCAGATAGATAAAGCCTTCACGCAGACCAACTGATGGTGGAAATAAAATATCAATCAGCAAAGAGCAATGCCACATCTGAAGCAAAAAAAAAAAAATCCAATCTTCTCATCTTACTGTCATGTAACTTTAGCAGTTCTGCTTCCAGCCCTTGACTTTCCTCAACAAACGAAGAGTTAAAGCCAGAAAATTCACATCTGTCCCAGTCACTACAAAGACAGCATTTACATCATACTGCCATACATTATCCTACAGTAGTAAACCAGAGCTTCCCCCCACAAAGCCCCCAGCCCTGTTCACGGACATTAATCTCAGCTTTTCCACTGTGATCACGACCAACACCTCTAAGAGATCTCAAACTCCACTGGACAGAGGCTCCGAACAGCAGAAGCTCAACCTTCACTGTCACTGAAGCTAGCCAAAAGACCCCATTGTAAACAGGCTCTGCAGACCAAACAGGAGGAAACCCAGCTTGCCAAAACCAGCCTTTGAAAGAGATAACTCACTGTTCTGGGGATGGGTGGCGACAGAGATCCATTAGGCATGTATGGGTCGTTATTCATATTTGGCATCATGATATACCCAGAATAACCAGAGTACGATGGTCCCTTGCTGTATAAGCCATTGTCTGGATGCTTTCCTATGGAAGATGAAACAATGATTACATTATTCCCCATGTATGCATTTCTCACGATTTAGAGCACTCAAACAGTTAGTGTGCATATATAAAAATGCTCTACATGCAAATGTTTCCTTACTCATGGAAATTACTGCTGACAGAAAAATAATACAAAGTAATTTGTAAAAACATTTTTTTTAGGAAGCATAAACTGTTAAAATAGCGAGTATTCTCAGTGAGGAGTTTATGTTTAAAATACAGAATAGCCTCAAAATAAACAATTTTGCTAGAACTCATTGAAATCAAAGTAGACACATCAGCAATGACATCACATTTCTCAAGCAGCAGTTTTCCCCAATTTTATACATGCCTCTAGGATTTGTCAATTCAGAATTATTGCCAGTATGGGTTTCCAACACCACTGTTAGGAAAGGCTGTGATAAGTAGATATAATAATTTCCTTCTCTTGCTGAGACAGTGTGTGCAGCAAACAATTCATTCTGACTATACTCATTGGGAACAATTAAAGGGCAGGGGGTGCTTGGAAGGAGATCCTAACAATTTGGGAGGGAGGCTGTTAAGCACACATGGTACTACAGCCAAGAGGGAAGCCCCGTGAGGGAGGGAGGCTATCTGGTAGGGAAAAAAGGTGTTTGGGTCCAGATCCTGCAAATAGGGTGAACAGGTCTCCCACCTACATGCCCACTGACAAGGATACTACTTGAAAGTGAGGTTTCAAGAAGATGCAGAGCTGAAACCTATCTGGAGCTGAACACCTCCCCCTCACAGCCCAAATGCAATGAGCATGGACATCATTGCTTTTAGGCTATTTAATTACAAATTTGGAGGAAGATGGCCACAGAGTCCTGGAAAGCACCAGGACTGGACTCTGTCTGTCTTTATATGGAATTTATAATCTGGTTTAGTTTGTGATGATAAGCTTTTGATTTTAAACATAATCTCCCACCCTTCACAGCACACATTCTTTGCATGCGTGTCCAGCTTCCTAAATGATATTTGATGAACTCTGCTACTTCCTCTGTGTTCCTCAATCGAAATTAACCATTTGAGACATTTTTAAAAATGCAGGAGATCTGCCCATACTTAGATTTGAAAAAGGAGATTTAAGTGACAGACTTTGGCTATGGGGAAAAGCAGAGGGTTTCTGAACACAACTGTACACTGTATGAGTGAAGAAATAATGTATTTAAGGTGATATCCTAAAAACAGTTACTTCTTCAGTGAATATCCATCTGGCCTACTTATCAGTTTCTAAACAACTGGAATACCATTTGGTCACTCAAGATAAATGCACTGCACGTTCGTCTGCTTTTTAAATGCACTTTGAAAACACTTTGGCATCCCCCCCCCAAAAAAAGATATAAAATCTATGTTTTCCAAATAAACCAAGTTCCAGTTTGAGGACTGTGTGGCGGGTCACAGAGGGACAAAACTCCAAGACAGGACTGTGCGAGTCTCACCTTCCTCGGGGTGTTCTCTGCCTTTATCATGGTAGGAATCCTGTGCTTGAGTCTGCCTGGAAACCTGACCACAGGGAATCCACCATCAGAAAAGAAGAAAAAGAAGAAAAGTCACTGTATGGATGCTCGTTTATCAAATACGCTGCTACAGTTTCTTGAAGGAAGAGAGGATTTCAGAGCACAAGATTAACATCTTTCTTTTTCCACCTAAGTGTCTTGGAAGGCAACTGTTCCAGAATCATTGGTGTAAAATATTGTTTTATGACAACGTGAATAACTACAGAGCTTTGCAAAGCATTTCTAGCAGAAGCACCCTGTATTTAATGGAAGTGGATAATTTCTGGAAAATATTTGGCGCTCTGGCAGTCAAAACGCTCTTGGTAAAAAGATACTAAAAATAATAATGAAAATCAGGTTGCCCTCCTTAGCAGATGTTTAGGGGGAAAAAAGAAAGAAAATTAAAAAAAAAAATTAAACAAAATTTTTTAAAAGGCAGGCTCCCCGCTCGCCCCGAAGTTATTTTAGAGTCGGGAATTTCTTCCCTAACAGTTTTATGCAAATCCCTTAAAGAGTTTACAGCTAACGCTCCGACCCCGCTGATTTTACTGAGGAAATTTCATGGCTGCTTGAGGTCTAATACCACCGCACCGTCGGGGAACTCGCGGCAACTTTCTCATCCCGGGCCGAAGCGCGGAAGGAGCTCTGCCCGGCGCACCTCTGGAGACAGGATTCGGGGTAGAACGATCTCTGTTCCTATGGGAAACATTTCCCCGGCGCCCCTGCGCAGCTCCCTCCCGCCGG